ATATTCAAAACTGTGCACACAATGGACACTTTACAATCCCATAAGGCCATGGGGAGAGGATCTATGAATGGCAGAGAAGTGGTAGGTCCTGTGATAATGACAACATGGCAAATGTAGTATGATTACCTTCATACTACACAGAACATAATTTTTAGTGGTCACAAAGTAAGACAATAAGAACCTACTCAAGAGAGTATGTGATTTCAGATGCAGCCTGTGTGTCCTACCTGTGTGAGCTCTTCAAAGAAGTCAGTCTCTCTCTTCTCTACAGGTGATGGCTGAGCACAGCCTGAGCTGTCGATCCACAGCTGAGTCAAAACAAAATAAAAGGGGCAGAAAGTAGAATAAAAGTTCTGAATGCAGCTCTCCAGACACACTGGACGTCAGGTGGGATTTCATAACAAGCGAGTCCGGGAAGATAAACCTAACAAATATTGCTGAAACGTGGAGTTTGTTCAGTGACTCAAGTTCAAAGTTTATTTAATATCACAAACACCACAGCTGCATTAAAAAAAAAAGTGCAATCCAAATATCTTATGGGGAATCCTATGTGGAATTAACCATAAATCATTAAATAAACAATGCATAATTGGGACACACTTATCCATGAAGAAAATGTTTGACATTTATTGCTGACAACAAAGAGCATGCATTCAATCAAACTCATACACACACACAAAAAAAAAGAAAATACAACCCAGAGAACATTACATAAGTTCACTGAACTGAGCTGGACGATGAAATCAGAACTAATTTAATAATTGGTGATCTTTACAACAGAACAGAATCAACACTGAACTGACTTCAACAGCTGAAATGCACCATTTCACAGCTTTGAAACAATCTGTATTGTATAAAGTGCTATATAATAGTGATGGCCGGTTCGTGAACGAATCGTTCTTTTGAACCGGTTCTTTTTAGTGAACCGGTCGAACCAGTACACTAAATCGGACTGAATCGTTCGAAACAGTTCGCGTCTTGCGTCAGCGCTAAACCACAAGTTACTAAAGTTACTCACTTTCAAACATGCCTGACAGTCCCTCCGAATCGAAATAAACCAATATCCAGAAGTACATTTTATTCCAGTAACTCAAAAAGTTCACTGAACGGAGACATATGTTGGTGCTGAGAGAAGTGATGAGCACGAGCAGCTGATACTGCGCATGCGTCTACTACCGAACGTACAGATACAGCGGTCGGATAACCAGTACAGAACCGAGAAGAACTGTTTCTTTCGGACACGTTCGACATATTGAGAACTGATGAGTTGATGAGCTGAGCATGCGTGCATTTTTTTTCTGAGGGACGAAATGTACGTTTCCACGTCTTTAGTTGAACATCAGTAATAAGTGTAACAAAATAAAACATTTTGGAAACATGTTTATCCCATTACTGTATCACTGTATTATTTTAACGATTGGAAATAATGATTGGATTCTAAAACTGTCAAACTACTAAACATTTATTATTATACTAAAATAATATTTTCAGGAACAGCTCATTTAATTTCTATCTAAGTAATATTATAAATCTTTGATGTAAACTCTTGCCAAGGTTTGGTGCACTGCTTAGTAAATGTTTATGTGTTAACATAACGAATTAAACATATATGTTTAACGAATTAAACATATATGTTTAATTCGTTATGTTAACACATTATAAACATGATGTATACTGTTACTTATATAGGCTACAGGCTATATTGGAGACAGACATGCATCGATTTTTTAGTTTTGTCGACTGTATATTCAGGTTTCAGCTCAGCACAGGCCTATGCTATGGTTCTCGAGTCGAGAACTGGTTGTTGCAGCTCTTGAATCACTAGTGCAGAACCGAGAACTGTTTCTTTCGGACACGTTCGATACGGAGAACCGATGAGCTGGAGATACTGCGCATGCGTGATAGCACCGTCTCTGAACAGAACTTTCTTTCGGCCGGCTGATCCTGTGCTGATATACGAGCACGCAGTAGTACGGGTGAACCCAGGACTTAAATGAGAGGGCGAATCGGCGAAATGTAAGTTTATTTAATAACAAATAAAATGATGAAGACCATTTAAGCATTTTATATATTTAAAACATGTAAAACATCCGCGTTAGCACATCGACTAGGCTGCAGCAGGGTTCGTTTTCAAAATGTAAATGTAAGAAACTTATCCAAGATGATTATGACAATGCATACTATTATTTAACTGAAGTTGTGATTACAAATGCCTTTAATTTGAAGTATTTTTGTCCGCCGGGATGATAGAATTGACGTCATTACGTGATGACGTAAAAGAACTGGTGAACCGGTTTTTTGAACCGGTTCATTAAAACGAACTGTCCGAAAGAACCGGTTCGCGGAAAAGAACCGGACTTCCCATCACTACTATATAAATAAAGGTGAGTTGACTTGCAACAGAGATGATATGCAGTGCAGTTCTGTGAATTATTGCCATTTCGAAACATTCAGACTGCTTATAAAAACATGCCTGTTGTAATATAATAAATTTCGATTGGCATTCTGACTTCTTTTTGTTTCATCTTTGTTACTTTTATTAAAGATTTCATTTAGTATAGTGTTAAGTTTGTATTAAATCTGGTCTTGAAGCAAAGCTGGATGGCAGGCCCTGCCTTTATAGCATGTTAACAGCATGACATCTAATAACGAATGCTGACAACAAACCCAAGGAGCATAGTTCACTTTCTAGGCAGTGATAACGCTGGAACAGAATGAGGTTTGCATACTAACCTCAGTGCCATACTTGGAGAGCGCAGCATTGGCAAGCTGTCGAATCTTCTCTCTGTACATCTGAGCCGCACGACTGTTATACTTTGCATTGGTGTCATTGGTGGTGCAGCCATGTTGGCGGAAAAACCCCATCTGTGCACAAATAAAAGCCTACAGTATTGGCTCATGCAAATAGCTGAATTAAGAGGTAATGGTTTAAAGGAAGAACAGATGCAGTACATAATGCATATTATAGGCTAGGAAAAAGAAGAACTAACCGCATTAGCATTTCCTCCAACCTGCATACATCTCAGCTGAAACCAGCTCCAATTGTTATCCAGCTCTGTGGATCTGAAAGGACAATACTCCTCAACTCTTGCCTTGTAATTAACAAATGAGTGTGGCATTGTTGAACACCACGGATGACTAAAAACTGTAACAGACGATTGCATGACAGCATAATATAATTAAAGAGAAAGACAATAGAGGGTCAGACCAACCTGATAAAGCTCAAGTGTACTCCCAATGAGCGATGGATCCCAGAACAGTCAATGCACAGAAATACTCCATATGGAATACTGGCCCAGCTCGGGTTCTTAGCGGAGCAGTCAAAGCAGGCCTAGACACAACACACATCATTTCATAATTAAAACTCTGTATAGAAATGTTTGAAATGACTTTCAAGACTGAAAAAGACTGCATACAGAGAAGAGTTCCAACATATGGTTCACAAACCATATGTTCATAAAAACCCAGTAATGTGTACATTTGGAAAATCAAGAATATAAAAGGAATGTACAAAAACTTCACCAAAACGTTCGATTTTATTTAAATAGTAAACATTATGTACACTTGTACTAGATCTGATAGTACAATAATTCACGATTCCATGCCCCATTATAACAGATTTTACCATATGAATGAGTTTGATCCATCTATGGGACAGTACAGACAGACAACACCATGGAATTTAAGCCACATTATTACAGGATGAGTAATTTTCCATCGCCACTGCGTCATTCTCATATAACAGGTGAACCAGCAATCATCTGATTTCTTTATAAGACAGCTGATTTAGTCATCATAGCTCGTTGAAACGAAGTAATTAGTGTTTGATAGTTTAATACTGGTCTGTTTTTGAGATGTGATGTTGATTGTAAACATATATGAGTTAGACGGCACTCAGGCCCCATCAGCACCGGCTTAGCGACTAACAAATGACACGTAATCCCAAATGAAACACACATAAGGATGTCTCTGACTAAGTTATGACGATAATGAAAACAGTCACAGGTATGTTTTAATAAGACCTCGCGTGTTACCTTGTTTGTAGGTATAGACCGCAAACGTTTAAAAATGGTTAGAATTTCTGTCTTGTTCGGTTCCGACGCCATCTTGCCAACTGAGCAGAGGGAAAACAGAAACCAGACATTAAAGACTAGGCGGAAGTGATGTTTCTGAAAAATAAAGGTCCCTTGAGACAAACTCTTAACAGAAACGTGAAAGTGCATACTATCCGTGAAAAACACGTGAAAACACATGTATAATAGACCGTTCTTATAATACGTAAATATTGATACAAAAACTAAAATTGTAGCAACAGCAAAATGTACTTTTAGACGTACCTTTAAAAATAAAAATTATATATATATATATATATATATATATATATAATTATAATTATAATAAATTAATTAATTATAATACATTTATAAATTTAGTAAGTAAAAGTGAGTAATTAATTTATTAATTACATAAAGCTGCATTTTGTTAATCTAATATGAATCC